GCCAAAAGGGAAATGTCACCTGGCCGGAGAAACGATCCACACTGGCTTCTTCTGGGATGAGCTGAAGCCAAGGTGAAGCCAAGTGTGACAGAGGCAGGGACATCCTCCAAAGGAGAGACCCTCGTGACCTTCTGGCAAGGAAACTAGTCCAAGGTGGGCGAGGCAAAACTACGGTGAGGTGGATCTGAAATTGGTGAAATGGACGAACCCAGAGGGTGATTCTCCCCAAGGCTTCCTCCTCTTCATCCTGGAAAGGAGTGAAGAGTGGAGGGCCATCTGCAGGGTTCCGTCCAGGCCCAGGCCTGCTCAGGATCTTCATTCATGACTTAGATGAAGGGCGAGAAGGCAGGATCATCAAGTTTGCAGACGACACCAAATGGGGAGGGAGAGCCAATACTCCAGAGGACAGGAGCAGGACTCAAAGGGATCTCGACAGACTAGAGAGATGATGGGCCAAAATTAACAAAATGAAGTTCAGGAGGGACAAATGCAAGATACTCCACTTAGGCAGGAAAAACGAAATGCAAAGAGACAGAATGGGGGACGATGAGACCTGGCTCGAGAGCAGGACGTGTGGAAAAGATCTTGGAGTCCTCGTGGGGAGGAAGGTAAACATGAGCCAGGAATGTGATGTGGCGGCAAAAAAAGCCAATGGGATTTTGGCCTCTATAGTGTCTAGAATCCAGGGAAGTGCTGCTCCCCATGCTCTATTCCGCCTTGGTTAGACCACACCTGGAATATTGTGTCCAATTCTGGGCACCACAATTGAAGAGAGATATTGACAAGCTGGAATGTGTCCAGAGGAGGGTCTGGAGAACAAGCCCTATGAGGAGTGGCTTAAGGAGCTGGGCATGTTTAGCCTGAAGAAGAGAAGGCTGAGAGGAGACATGATGAGGGCCATGTATAAATATGTGAGAGGAATCCACAGGGAGGAGGAGGAGGGAGCAAGCTTCCTTTCTGCTTCCCTGGAGACGAGGATGCAATGGAGGAATGGCTTCAAACTACAAGAGAGGAGATTCCACCTGAACATGAGGAAAAACTTCCTGACTGTGAGAGCCGTTCAGCAGTGGAACTCTCTGCCCCGGAGTGTGGAGGAAGCTCCTTCCTTGGAAGGTTTTAAACAGAGGCTGGATGGCCATCTGTCAGGGGTGATTTGAATGCAATATTCCTGCTTCTTGGCAGAATGAGAGTTGGACTGGATGGCCCAGGAGGTCTCTTCCAACGCTAGGATTCTATGATATTAATTAAAATTACATAATCACATAGAAGAAATCACATAATCACAGGTCATATAGCCATTTCCAATTTCCAAACAATCCTATTGTCCGAATTCAGTGCCTAAAGTGCTGCTAAAGTGCCCACTAGCTAAAGGTCTGGCTCCAAAACCACGTCTTTAGTTTTTTCCTAAAAGTAAGGAGAGAGGACGCCGATCTAATCGCGCTGGGGAGCGAATTCCACAAGCGGGGGGTCACTACCAAGAAGGCCCTGTCCCTCGTCCCCACCAGACGTGTTTGAGACGCTGGTGGGACTGAGAGCAAGGCCTCCCCAGTAGATCTTAAATTACGAGGTGGAACGTAGAGAGAGAGACGTTCGGATAAATAAGCTGGGCCAGAGCCGTAGAGGGTTTTATAGGCCAAGACCAGCACTTTGAATTGTGCTCAGAGGTGGACAAGCTGGAATGTGTCCAGAGGAGGGCGACTCAAAGGATCCAGGGTCTGGAGAACAAGCCCTATGAGGAGCGGCTTAAGGAGCTGGGCATGTTTAGCCTTAAGAAGAGAAGGCTGAGAGGAGATATGATAGTGTCTAGTATAGTGTCTAGATCCAGGGAAGTCCTGCTCCCCATGCTCTATTCTGCTTTGCTTAGACCACACCTGGAATATTGTGTCCAATTCTGGGCACCACAATTCAAGAGAGATGCTGACAAGCTGGAATGTGTCCAGAGGAGGGTGACTCAAATGATCAAGAGTCTGAAGAACAAGCCCTATGAGGAGCGGCTTAAAGAGCTGGGCATGTTTAGCCTGAAGAAGAGAAGACTGAGAGGAGACATGATCACCATGTGTAAGCATGTGAAGGAAAGTCCTAGGGAGGAGGGAGCAAGCTTGTTTTCTGCTTCCCTGGAGACTAGGATGCAATGGAACAATGTCTTTGAACTACAAGAAAGGAGATTCCATCTGAACATGAGGAAGAATTCAGCAGTGAGAGCCATTCAGCAGTGGAACTCTCTGCCCAGGAGTGTGGTAGAGGCTCCTTCTTTGGAAGCTTTGAAACAGAGGCTGGATGGCCATCTGTCGGGGGTGCTTTCAATGCAATATTCCTGCTTCTTGGTAGAATGGGGTTGGATTGGATGGCCCACGAGGTCTCTTCCAACTCTAAGATTCTAGGATTTTGATGTTCCAATGTTTTTCTGAACAGAGCTGAGTTTATTTCTTATTCATCATCATGTCTGTTTAATGCACATGCCTAGGTTGCTCCTGAGGATAATGCAATGGCTACAGTGTGGAGCAGGCATGGGCAAACTCCAGCCCTCCTTGTGTTTTGGACTACAACTCCCACAACACTGGCTGTTAGGATTTGTGGGGGTTGAGGTCCAAAACACCTGGAGGACCGGAGTTTTCCAATGACTGGTGGGGAGGCCACCTTTTACCTTTTTTGGTGAGCGCTGTGCCACTCTGAACAGATGCATCTGGCTGACTTCAGAAGCTAAGCGGGTTCTGGCCTGGTTAAGTTAGAGACCCTAAATTGGGTCTTCTTAGGTCCACATCACGGGAACACGTCAGGAAGGAGACAGTCCCAAAAAAAGATCAAAAAACAAGGTTTATTTATGAAGAAGATGGACAGCCTGGCAGCATACGCAGATGCTACCCTTCAAGTGACTGCCGCGCCCCTCCTCTTTTTCTGCTGACTTTTATACTCAAGTAATAGGTCATGGAAAGTACTCTCTTTCCAGCCCCTCTCCCTTGATCTTTTGATGGAAAGTACCTTCTTGTACCTGCAGACTCTGCGCTTAACCACAACCTTTGGCTTAACCACAACACAACTTCCGACCTCTACATGTCACATCTTGTTTCTTAAAAACATTTGCAAATTTCACTCAAAGACTTGGACGGGAGACCCAGGGAGGGAAAGGCACCCGGGATCTCTGGACAGGGACAGTAGGGAATCGTGCCTGAAACTCTGAGAGCCAAGGACTGCTGGTCCAAGTGGAGCATTCTGGGCTGGGCCACCAAGGCTCTCCTTCATTATCAAGGCAGCAGCCTGTGTTCCTAACTAATCTGCGTGTAGCTGGACTGATGACCCATATCAGGGCAACTCAGCATGGAGCCCTCCAAGCATGGCTGTGCATTATGCTCAGAGAAAGCTCATCTCCCGGACTGATGCCTGTGCCCCTGGCTCCTCAGCGTTAAGCCGGAAGCCTGATATGAACAAAAGGGGTGCAACTCCCCAAACTACCCATTGGCCATCTGTCCAAAAGTGAGGCATTGCTGCTCTTGCCACCACAGAGCTACATTGTCCATGGAGACAATTGTTCTGGACGCCTGGTTGCCACTCGTTCCATGGGTAATGCAGGTTTGGGGTTTATTTATTGTGTCAGGCAACAAACAGTTGTATTACATTTTTGACAGAACAAACAAACATACAAAAGACACAGAGTTTGCGAGTTTGGTAGATGATTAAATGTCCTTTGACCAGTCTCTGTCCCCTTGGAGTGCCTCTGGTGTTGCCGCAAGAAGGTCCTCCATTGTGCATGTGGCAGGGCTCAGGTTGCATTGCAGCAGGTGGTCAGTGGTTTGCTCTTCTCCACACTCGCATGTCGAGGATTCCACTTTGTAGCCCCATTTCTTGAAGTTGGCTCTGCATCTCGTGGTGCCAGAGCGCAGTCTGTTCAGCGCCTTCCAAGTCGCCCAGTCTTCTGTGTGACCAGGGGGGAGTCTCCATCTGGTATCACCCACGGATTGAGGTTCTGGGTTTGAGCCTGCCACTTTTGGACTCTCGCTTGCTGAGGTGTTCCAGCGAGTGTCTCTGTAGATCTAAGAAAACTATTTCTTGATTTAAGTCGTTGACGTGCTGGCTGATACCCAAACAAGGGATGAGCTGGAGATGTCTCTGCCTTGGTCCTTTCACTATTGGCTGCTACCTTCCCGGCGGATGTCAGGTGGTGCAATACCGGCTAAGCAGTGTAATTTCTCCAGTGGTGTAGGGCGCAGACACCCGTGATAATGCGGCATGTCTCATTAAGAGCCACATCCACTGTTTTAGCGTGGTGAGATGTGTTCCACACTGGGCATGCAGACTCAGCAGCAGAGTAGCACAGCGCAAGGGCAGATGTCTTCACTGTGTCTGGTTGTGATCCCCAGGTTGTGCCAGTCAGCTTTTGTATGATATTGTTTCTAGTGCCCACTTTTTGCTTGATGTTCAGGCAGTGCTTCTTGTAGGTCAACGCACGGTCCAGAGTGACTCTTCTAAGGTATTTGGGTGCGCTGCAATGCTCCCCTGGGATTCCTTCCTTCCCAGGTAATAATCCTCAGAGCTCGGGATGCTTGTCTGTTCTTAAGGTGAAAGGCACATGTCTGTGTTTTAGATGGATTAGGGATCAGCTGGTTTTCCCTGTAATAGGCGGTAAGGGCACCTAGAGCTTCGGAGAGCTTCTGTTCTACCATCTCAAAGCTCCCTGCTTGAGTGGTGATGGCACGATCATCAGCATAGATGAAGCTCTCTGTCCCTTCTGGCAGTGGCTGGTCATGTGTGTAGATGTTGAACATGGATGGAGCAAGCACGCTCCCCTGAGGCAGGCCGCTCTTCTGTTTCCGCCATCTGCTTCTCTGGCCCTGGAACTCAACAAAAAAGCTCCTGTTTTGTAGCAGGTTTCCTATGAGGCGGGTGAGGTGGTCGTCCTTTGTGATATTATACATTTTTCTCAGGAGGAGGCGGTGGTGGGGTGGGGTGAAAATACAGTAAATAAATAAATAAATGTTTGTGACTTTCTGTCTCCTGACTTGCAGGGCATCAACCCATGTGAAGGATGGAGTCCTACTTCAACCCTGTGGAGCGGGAGTATGACAACGGGATCCACCTGAAGCTTGCAAACGACGAAGGCTCGAAGGCCAAGAACATGCCAAACGCAAAGGCTGGGTCCTATGGGGTCAGCATCCGTGTCCAAGGGATAGATGGCCATCCATACATTGTGCTCAACAATACGGAAGGGTGCCTCTCTGAAAACCACGCCGGGCCAGAAAATGGCCAGGAAGCAGCCCCGCAGAGACCTCTGGCGGACTCTGGTTGTGGTCCGGAGCCTGAGCAGAAGACTGTGGGGAACCGGCTCTTTTGTGGGAATGCCCCGACGGGGATCTTTAAAAGCACGCTGAAGCGGACCAGCCTGGACGAGGGAGAAAACAGTCACTTGCATTCCAAGTCGGGGCTCCTCAAGTCTTCCAGCCTTTTGAATTTCCAAAGGCACCCAGAGCTCCTCCAGCCTTACGATCCTGAAAAAAATATCCTGAATCTGGAAGGTTTTCAGTTGTCTGTATCCAGAAGGGCTGGATCTCCAGCGGAGGAGGAGAATCCAGATGCGAATCCTTGCCGGTTGCCACTGCAGTTTGCAGAACTGGCCAAACTGAAGCCCAAAACGGTGGACTTGACCAAGCCGGCCCCAGGGGAGGAAGACTGGAGCCAGCACGAAGTGGTGGACGGTCTCAATGGGGCGCAGGAATCATTTTCGCCTGATAGTGGATCTCCCTCCGCTGTGAGCCCACCCACCTTCCCGGAAGCCAAGAAATGTCGCCCTGACCTCCTCCCCTTCCGCAGGCAAGATTCCGCAGGATCTGTCCTGAATGGTACACGGCGCTCCTCTTCTTCCTCGGCCACCCCGACGTCGGCTGCTTCCTTGTATAAGTTCTTCCTCGATGACCAGGAATATGCCATCTACGCCGACAATGTCAACCGGCACGAAAACAGAAGGTACATCCCCTTTTTGCCCGGGACCGGCCGTGATATTGACACGGGTTCAATTCCCGCGGTCAATCAGCTGATTGAAAAGTTCGACCGGAAAGTTGGTCCGCACAGAAGAGGCCGCCTGGGAATGCGGAATCGGATCCACCCGGACGACCGCAAGCGGTCAAGGAGTGTCGACAGTGCCTTATCCGGTGGCCTTCAGCTGAATTCTGATGCTTCGGAGGGATTGGATCCATCCACCGAAATGGCTGTGCAACCTGCCCAAGTGTGCCTTCCGCCAGGGCAGAAGGCAGCCCCTCCCGCGCAACAGGCTGCCCCTCGCTCAGCGGGAAAGCTCCAAGCGGCAGCAGCAGCAACCACCACCATCGCGAGGGACTTCCCCAGCAGCCATTTTAATTCCTTGCAGTATCGTAAGGACGTTAAAAAAAGACCTGAGGAGAGTTTGTTTTTTAAGTCATCCACACTTCCAGTCCAGAAGAAGAAAAGTGAAAACAAACTGGTGACGTCCACACTCTTGATCCCAAACCGTATTGCAACGCAGAGGATTTCTGTGAAAACGTTCACTCCCGCTTCAAATGCTCAGGTAACTTTGCAAGTGTGGGATATGTTGGCAGATCCAAAGATGATAATCTATATAAATAAAAATGTCATGTTCGTTTGTGGGATTAACAGAACTCAAAAACCACTGGGGGAATTGACACCAAATTTGGACACAAGACACCTCACAACCCAATGTATGTCCTTCACTCACAAAAACCACGAAAACAAAAAGCAGAAAGGACTTCTAAACTGCATGTCTACAAAAGTGCTTGAGTGAAGGACCTTCCTTCTCTCCCTCACTCCCTTCCCTTCTTTCCTCCCTCTCCTTCCTCCCTTTCTTTCCTTTTCTTCCTTCCTTCTCCTTCATTTCCTTCTTTCCCTCCTTCCCTTCCTTCCTCCTTTCCTTCTTTTCCTCCCTCCCTTTCCTCCTTCTTCTTCCCTTTTTTTCATCCCCTTCCTTTCTTTCCCTCCTCTTTCCTCCCTCTTCCTTCCTTCCTTCCTTCCTCCCTTCCTTCCTTCCTTCTTCCTTCCTTCCTTCCTTCCTTTTCCTTCCTTCCTTCCTGTCCCTCCTTCTTCTTTTCCTTCCTTCTCCTTTCCCTCCTTCCCTCCCTCCCTTCCTTTTTCCTCTTTCCTCCTTTCTTTCCTTCCTTTTTCCTTTTCCTTCCTTCCCTCTTCCTCCTTCCTCCTTTCTTCTTTCCTTCCTCCCTCCCTCTCCTCCTTTCTTTCTTTCCTTCCCCTTTTCCTTCTCCCTCCTTTCTTCATCCCCCTCCTTTCTTTCCCTCCTTCCTCTTCCTTCCTTCTCCTTCCTTCTTCCTTCCTCCCCTCCTTCTTTCTTTTCCTTCCTTCCCTTCTTTCCCTCCCTCCCTTCCTTTCCTTCCTTCCTCCTTCTTCCTTTCTTCCTTTCCTTCTTTTCCTCCCTCCCTCTTCTTTCCCTTTCTTCATTTCCTTCCCCTTCATTTCCTTCCCCTCCTTTTTTCATCCCCTTCCTTTCTTTCCTCCCTCCCTCCCTCCCTCCTTCCTTCCTTCCTCCTTTCCTTCTTCTTCCCTTCCTTCCTTTCCTTCTTTTCCTCCTTTCCTTCCTTCTTTCCCTTTCTTCATTTCCTTCCCCTTCATTTCCTTCCCTCCCTCCTTTCTTCATCCCCCTCCTTTCTTTCCCTCCTTCCTTCCTCCTTCCTTCCTCCCTCCCTTCCTGTCCCTCCTTCTTTCCTTCCTTCCCTTCTTTCCCTCCTTCCCTTCCTTTCTTTTTCCTTCCTTCCTGTCCCTCCTTCCTTCCTTCTTCCTTTCCTTCTTTCTATGTAAGATATAAATACAATATTAAATGGAAGGGACAGTCAAGAAGTAATGAGAGAAGGAGGGAAAGAGGGAAGGAAGAAGAGAAGCAGGGAGGGAAAGAAAGAAAGAAAAGCAAGGAAGGAGAGAAAGGGAAAGAAGGGAAAGAAGGAGAGAAGGAAAAAAAGGAAGGAAGAAGGAAGGAAGGAAGGAGAAGGAAGGAAGGAAGGAAGGAAGGAAGGAAGGAAGGAAGGAAGGATGTAACCAAAGAGCAAAGAAAGGGAGGAAAGAAACAGGGAGAGATGTAAGAAAGAAGATTAATAGGGATAGAAAAAAAGGGAAGGAGAGAAAGAAGAGGGAAGGTTGGCCACAGCGCGTGGCAGGTACAACTAGTAGTAGTAGTAGTAGTAATAATAATAATAATAATAAACCTCTATTTATACCCTGCTACCATCTCCCGAAGGACTCGGCGCGGCTTACAAGAGGCCGAGCCCAAATACATCAACAAAACAACAACAACAACAACAAAGCAAAATAAATGAACTCATTAAACAAGCAATAAACATTAATAATAACAACAACAACAACAACAACAACAACAACAGATGTATTGTCGAAGGCTTTCATGGCCAGAATCATTGGGTTGTTGTAAGTTTTTTCGGGCTATATGGCCATGGTCTAGAGGCATTCTCTCCTGACGTTTCGCCTGCATCTATGGCAAGCATCCTCAGAGGTAGTGAGGTCTGTTGGAACTAGGAAAGGGTTTATATATCTGTGGAATGACCAGGGTGGGATAAAGAACTCTTGTCTGCTGGAGCTAGGTGTGAATGTTTCAACTGTCCACCTTGATTAGCATATAATGGCCTGGCAGTGCCTGGAGCAAACTGGTTGAGTGGTGATTAGATGTCCTTGTTTGTTTCCTCTCTGTTATGCTGTTGCAATTTTAGAGTTTTTTAATATTGGTATCCAGATTGTGTTCATTTTCCTGGTTTCTTCCTTTCTGTTGAAATTGTCCACCTGCTTCTTGTGGATTTCAATGGCTTCTCTATGTCGCCTGACATGGTGGTTGTGAGAGTGGTCCAGCATTTCTGTCTTCTCAAATAAAATGCTGTGTCCAGGTGGGTTCATCAGGTGCTCTGCTATGGCTGACTTCTCTGGTTGAGGTAGTCTGCCGCCCGCTGGACCAATTGGAATTTCCGGGCCGTCTTCAAGATCTGCAAACTCTCGTAATAGGAACGGAATGGCCAGTTGTGCCTGTGTGTGTGGATACTGATTTTGACCACAAAACATGGGGTGGGGACCAGGGGTGGAAAGAGGGCTCCAGCCGATCATCCTCGTGACCGCATTTCTGTGTACGAACCCACACGATCTCTTCGATCATCTGGAGAGGCCCTCCTCGTGCTCCCACCTGCATCGCAAGCAGGGACGAGAGAGAGGGCCTTCTCGGTGGTGGCCCCTCGCCTCTGGAACTCACTTCCCCAACTTTCTCGCCTCTGGAACTCACTGCCCCAACTTTGGCAGTCTTTAGGAGGAGCTTGAAAACACACCGAGTCCCTTGGGGAGATGGTAGCGGGGTATAAATAAAGTGTTATTATTATTATATTATTATTTTGCAGCCCAGAGTTCCCTTGAAAGGCAGGCACGTGATTAATGCTCACTTTTGTGTTTTCCAGGTGACACCAGACTTGCTGAAAGGCCAACAGGAACTGGCTCAGCAAACCAACGAGGAAACCGCCAAGCAGATTCTCTACAACTATCTCAAGGAGGGGTTAGTGGGCTTGCGTGAGCGTGGGGCTTGTGGGAATGGCTGAAAACATGACTTGTGCTGTCGCGCGCTGGACCTGTGACAATGTCTGTTTACAGGACGTGCTTTCCGTATGCCCAATGGGACGCCAGGGTGCCTCAGCTAAAGGATCTCATAGGTTTCCCAACATAAAGTTCTGTAGAGGCTCAAAATAGGTTCAACAAAGTTCTTTATTAAGGCTTAAATCTTCGAACAAATGAATTAAATGCTATATAATCTTGAAAAACTGGTAGCTTTCTCGATCTGCCAACAAGGGACAGGCAACTGCTTGATAAACTGTTCCTATCTTCTTTAGGGAAACCTTCCGACCCCTCCTTGGGCAATCTTTCTTTATCCTGCTGGCGTGAGGCCCCAGCTCCCGGCTTCAAGCTGCGTTATGGATAGCCCGAGTTGTCCCTTACCAGGCAATGGTTGCTGCAGATCTGCCAAGCTGGTGTCCTTTAGTTTCTCCACGAAGGCTGTAG